TGAATGCTTTGGCCAATGAGCATCATGAGAGTTTAAAAGAGAGGAGTCAGATGAAGAAGGAGAACGTCGAGCTTGTTAAGAAGAGCGAGGCTGCTGAAGCCGAGGTGGCGAGGTTGAAGGCGGAGATGGAGGAGCTCCGAAAGGAAAACGCCACCCTCAAAAAGGACTCGGAGATCTCGTACCAAAAAAGGAAGATATGCGAGGTCGAGTTGGAGAGGAGGGAGAAGGAGGTGGAGGAGGCAGGGAAGGTGGTGGCTGAGTTGGAGCTCAAGGTTCACAACTCGGTTGAGGAGCATGTGGAGGGGTTCTTGAGGTCCAGCACCTTCGAGGACATCGTCAACCTCTATCGTCTTCCCACTGCCATCGTGACCTTCTCTAACTGCTGGAAGAAGGTGAAGCTGCAGTATCCTGCTGTGGATGTGACGAAGATTACCTTCGGAGAGCAGGAAGGGGAGGTGGAGGAAAATGGAGAGAGCAGTACTACTGACTTCTGCCCGGAGGTAACATTGAAGTGGGAGAAGGATAGTTGGGGTCAAACCATTTTGCCTCCCAAGTTCAGTTTTGAATTTGTGGTGGTGGGTGAGGAAGACGAAGGCGACGAGGTCATTGAAGGTGCTGAAAGGCCAGCTGAAGGTGCTGACCAGCCAAGTCAGCCTGCAGATAACCTCGAGCAGCCTGCGGCCAGCCCGAGCCAAACCGTTGACTAGATTTGGCCTTGTTTTTTTTTTTTTTTTGAGAGATATTCTTTGTAATCGATTGGAAATTAATGGAATGAATTTGATTTTTTTTTATTGCGTCTGTGATCCAAAGTAGGAGAAGCTAAAATGACATTGTTAATACAATTAGGTTTGAAGAAGTGGAATTGACTTCGTCCTTAATTGACGTCGTCTTCAATTGTATTGGAAAAAGATGCCTAACTCTAAGCACCCTTTTGCCCTCGGCATCCTGGAGAATGTATGCTCCGGGGTGCGGGACCTCGGTTACAATGTAAGGGCCTTCCCAGTTTGGCGCTAGCTTGCCGTATCGGGTCTCGAACCCTGTGAGCCCAGCTTTTCTGAGGACGAGGTCATCGACTCTGAAGTTTCGAGGTCGGACTCGCTTATTGTAAAGGTTGGCTATTCTTTGTTTGTATGCTAGAGTCCGAAGTCGGGATTGCTCTCGAACTTCGTCTAGGAAATCAAGGTTTTCCCTTAGTAGACGCTCATTTTGAGCCGGTTCAAAGTGGCTGATTCTTAGGCTTGGGACACCAATTTCGACAAGAATGACTGCCTCGGTGCCGAAGGCTAAGTGGTAGGGCGTTTCGCCTATTAGCAGGAGACTAACTTTAGGATTTACTTTAAAGGGTAGTCTGTAACTATAAATAAGGTAATAGAAAAGAGAATCAAAGCGAGGGAGATACCTGTGGCAGTTCGGCTTGTTGTCTGGTAAGCCCACAAGACGTTGTTGAGTTCATCTACCCACTTTGTTTTCAGCTGATCTAACCTCGGCTTGATTCCTTCCAAGATGGCTTTGTTGACTGATTCAACCATTCCATTGGCCTCGGGATGATAGACGGAGGTGAACACCAACTTAATCCCGTAGCTGGAGCAGAAGTCCCTGAAGGAGTTACAATTGAACTGGGAGCCGTTGTCAGCGATGATCTGGTTTGGTATCCCATATCTGCAGATGACCGAGCTGAAGAGGAAATCCTCAATTCTTCTCGAAGTCAGACAAGAGAGAGGTTTGGCTTCTACCCATTTGGTGAAGTAATCAACAGCGACCACTAAATGCGTTGCTCCTCCTACTGCTTTGACAAAGGGGCCCAGAAGGTCTACTCCCCATTGAGCAAAAGGCCATGGTGCAGTCATACTAGTGAGTTCTTCGGCTAGCTGATGGGTGAGATGGGCGAAGAACTGGCATTTCTGGCACCTCTGCATGAACTTCTTTGCGTCTTCTTGCATGTTAGGCCAATAGTACCCTTGCCGCAGTACCTTATGTGCTAGAGTCCGGGCTCCCACATGACTACCACATACCCCCTCATGTACTTCTCTTAGTGCATACTCTGCTTCATACGGTGTCAGGCATCTGAGGAGTGGTAACGAGTAGGACCTCTTGTACAGAATGTCGCCAACCAGGGTGTACCGAGAGGCTTTTCTTCGCAACTTCATCTCTTCCTGTTTGTCCCCTGGGATGGTACCGTTGAGGAGGTACTCCCGGATGGGGTTTGTCCAACTTGGAGCATCTGGGTCAGTGCTGATCTCCATCGCCCCCGACGTCTGAAAACTCGGTTCATTCAGTATCTCGATGTACACGGACTTTGCTTCCCCGGAGTTCTCAGATGCTAACTTCGACAAAGAATCTGCATGCTCATTTTCTGCTCTCGGAATCTTTGTAAGCTGGAATTTTTCGAACCGGTTTTTCAGCTCGGAGACTGCGGCCACATACCTCGCCAGGACGGGATTAATGACTTCACACATAGAATTGATTTGGTTAACTACCAGCTATGAGTCACTGTAAATCTGCAGGCGTTTGACTTTTAGTTCGACCGCTAAACGCAATCCCAGGAGGAGGGCTTCGTACTCGGCCACGTTGTTTGTGGCCTCGAAGTTGAACTTCAAAGCGTGTTCACCCCGGAAGTTGTCAAGTCCAGTTAATACTGCTCCAGCTCCTGAACCCTTGCTATTAGATGATCCATCGACATATAGGGTCCATGTTTCTACCTTAGAGCTCGGATCCATCTGATTAGAGGTGCATTCGACCACAAAATCTGCCAAGGCTTGAGCTCGGATTGCCGACCTTTGCTGGAATGCTATCTGAAATTCCCCCAGTTATACTGCCCATTTGATGAGTCTCCCAGAGCATTCTGGTTTCTGCAAAATTTGCCTTAAAGGCTGATCAGTCATCACGATGATAGGGTGAGATTGGAAATATGGCCTCAATTTTCTTGCGGTAACAACAACTGTTAGGGCTGCCTTCTCCGTTATTGAGTATCTCTGCTCAGCTCCCTACAGCACCTTACTGGCATAGTATACTGGTTGCTGTTGTTTCCTCATTTCCTTGATCAAGACAGAACTGACAGCAGTATCAGATATTCCGAGGTAGAGATGAAGGATTTCACCTTCATGGGCCTTAGTCAACAAAGGCGGCGAGCTGAGGTAGGCTTTGAGCTCGTCAAAAGCCACTTGACATTCCGTCGTCCAGTTGAACTTTCGAGGTTTTCCCGCTTCATCCTTTTGAGCTGTAGTTCTCAGGACCTTGAAGAAAGGCAAACACTTATATGCTGATTTGGAGATAAATCTGTGCAATGCTGCTATTCTCCTTGCTAGGCGTTGCACGTCCTTGGTTGATCTCGGTGGTTTCATCTCTTCTATTGCTTTTATCTTCTCAGGGTTGACCTCTATCCCCCTTCTGGAAATCATGAAACCCAGAAACTTGCCCGATTCAACATCGAAAGTGCACTTTGTTGGATTCAACTTCATGTTGCATCTTCTGAGGTTGTTGAACATCTCAGCCAGATCAGTCAAGTGGTCTTCTGCTCGAGAACTCTTGACAACAATGTCATCTACATAGACCTCGAGGTTTCTGCCGATTTGAGCTCAAAACACAATTGTGACCATTTTCTGGTATGTTGCTCCTGCATTTTTGAGCCCAAACGACATCATGACATAACAGTAGATCTCATCTCCGGCATAAAATGAGGTTTTCACCTCGTCCTCGGGTGCCATACGGACTTGATGATACCCCGAGTAGGCATCCAGGAGGCTTAACCTTTCATTTCCTGAGGCGGCCTCCACCAGCTTGTCTATGCTTGGCATGGGATGACAGTCTTTGGGGCAGGCGTCGTTGAGGTTGGTATAATCTATGCACATGCGCCACTTGCCATTTGACTTTTTTACCATGACAGGGTTGGCGATCCACTCGCAGTAGTCTACTCTCCTGATAAACCATGCTTGTAAGAGCTTTTGCACCTCCTCCTTGATAGCCGTGAGTCTTTCCCCCCCAAATAGTCATCTTTTCTGTGCTATTGGTTTCCTCAAAGGGTTGGTGCTGAGTTTGTGCACTGCCACCAAAGTTGGGATTCCAGGCATGTCAGCCGAGGTCCATGAAAACACGTCCTTGTTCGCTTTTAGGAAGCCCACGAGCTCTTCTTTTTCTACAAGAGTCAGCCTCGTGCCGATTTGAGTCCTCTTGGAGGGGTCATTGTCATCGAGTTGCACCTCTTCGACCTCCTCGACCGAGGTGGCCCTTGGGTCGTCCTCTGGTCGGTTATCTGGCAGCTCTACACCCATTATCTGTTGGGTATTTGGGGCCTCTGGGTGGGGTGGCTCCGGTGATGGGGCTATTTCTTTGTTGTTTC